ATTACAATTTTCTATTTCTTATGCATTAAGTTATATTTCTCTAGTGATATGTCTATAGAACTGCAGCATTCTGTTGCTGTAGCGAGTCCCAATTTGCACACACCTTCTGGCATCCACACCTGTAGGTAGTTAGCAGTACCTTCCCATGCTGACTTCAGCTTTCACTGAGTGCTTTGTTTTGGCCAATGAGATACAAGCAAAGATTTGAAAATTGCTGCTTTTTAAAACTCTGTAACTGATCATGTGGACAATCCTATACGGGAGACTACTGATGATGACACCTGCCCTCATCACCTATCACCCTAACCAAATGCCAGGCAACCTGCAATGCTCTGAATAGTGGGCTCCAAAGGTATCAGCATTCAAATCCTAGGACCTTATGTTAGTTGTAAAAGGGACTTTGTAGATGTGATCTTGAGATGGGAAGATTATTCCAAATTTTCCAGGTGGGCCTGATGCAATCACTGAGGTCCTTTTTAATAAGAGGGGCAATAGGAGATTTTTCTACATAAGTGAATTGTGAAAGCAGCAGAGATTGGAATGAGGCCAAGAAATAGCAGCAGCCTCTGAAATTTTAAGAGGCAAGGAGCAAATTTTCTCCCAGAACCACCAGAAGGAATGAGTCCTTTTGATACCTTGACTTTAGTGACTCAGACTCATTTTGAATTTTGAATTTCCAAACTGTAAGAGAATGTGTCTAAGCCTAGTGTAGTCATTTGTAGTAACCAGTTGCAGCAACAATAGGAAACTAATACAGATTTTGGTGCCAGATGTGGAGTGTTGCTATAAATACTTAAAAATTTGTAAGTGACTTTGGAATCAGTTAGTGGGAAAAGGCTGAAGAAATTACGAGCACACCAGGAAAACCAGTGTGTGAGCACATACTCTAAGTGTCAGGTAACACATTTGCTAATTACCTTGATTTATGTGTACAAAGTACACATTCTTCGAAACATCATTTTTATGCCACAATATATAGAATTTTTGTCAATTAAAAGTAATTAAATAAAACCTAAATCATTCTAAAAAGGGGAAAGACCCTGATTGCCTTTAAGGAACTGTTACTAGAAAAATGAATGTTAAAGACTCTGCTAGGGAACACTCAGAAGGGAGTGAAGATGCTGGGAGAGTCCTGTAAAATCTCAGAGGATACCTAACTTGTCAGAAGGAGAGTGCTGATAAAAATATAAATGTTAAATATGTGCTGGAAAGCCTCAGGAAGAAATGAGGAAGATTATTGGAAATCAAGGAAAGGGGATCTTTTTATAAACAGAGGCAGGAAAGTTAGTGGAATTGTGCCCTACAGTTATATAAGGGGGAGGAAGGGGCTATACATGATCAAGTTGGATATTTGGCTAAGATTTCCAGGCAAAAGTACAGCTTATTTTTTTCTTGTTGCTTACAGTAAAATGTGAGTGGAAAAAAGCAGAGGCACATCATATTTTACTGTGCTTCACAGACTGTGCAGTCTGTACAGACTGAAGACCTGCGGCAGCCTGTGCTGCGCCGAGTCTATTGCTGCCGCCTTCCAGCAGGTGCTCACTTCCCGTCTCTGTCACATTTTGGTAATTGTCGCATTATTCCGAGCTTTTTCATTATTATTGTTATCTATGATGATAGGAAATACCATCTAGGTTTCTCTAAATACACTTTATGATGTTTGCACAACAACGAAACTGTTTTAACAATGCCTTTCTCAGAACATGTCCCCACCGTCAGGTGACGCATGACTGTACAAGTCAACACACATAACTGGTATCTCCAGAGGGCCTAATACTGTCAGCATTCACTAAAAGGGATCCATTCAAGCCTCCTGAAATCTCTGTGAAGAGATTGGGCATGTGACTCATATTTGTCAGTAGAATAAATAGAGATGGGATTATCCAGAAAAGATAATAAAAAGCCTCTTATCTAATGGAGTAAAATGGGTGACTTACATGAGAACTCACAAGGATTCTGAGAATGTTATACCAGCAGAAACACTTACAGCTGGAACTAAGTGAAAAGTATGATCATGAGATTATATACATCAAAGCTACAACCCGCTCTCGGTGCAAGTCTCAAATGCGCACTCTCACTACAATGCGTGATACAGCACATTCCCACGGCCTCAGCACAAGAAGCATTGTTAAATATTTAGATTTCTAAAGATGATTAAAAATAGTATGCTAGTATAATTTCAAGGGAATTTTTCTTATAGGGTCAGCCATTCTACACTGTTAGGGGCAACTCACATGCTTGCTGAGCTGTCCATCTCCTAGCGCTCGCTCTACTGAATCTGTGCCTTCTGTGTGTACTCATCTACCACGGAGACCAAAGTTTAAGAGTTTTCAATACACTCTAGGCTCGATGCCTGTAGCACAGCGATTACAGTGCCAGCCATATACACAGAGGCTGGCAGGTTCAAACCCAGGTAAACAACAATGACAACTACAACAAAAAATAGCTGGGCATTGTGGCGGGCACCTATAGTCCCAGCTACTTTGGAGACTGAGGCAAGAGAATTGCTTAAGCCCAAGAATTTGAGGTTGCTGTGAGCTGTGATGCCACGGGACTCTCCTGAGGGTGACATAGTGAGACACTGTTTCAAAAAAAAAAAAAACTTTAAATGTTATCCTTTTATTTTTGCTGTTCCAGTTTTCTCCCAATCTATGACTTGTTTTTTTTAACATTGTTTATGTTGGCTTCTTTTGTATTAAGGTCCATAAAAAATCGACTAAGCTTTTGACTGAACTTAAGTGTACAGGTTAATTTGAAGAAAATTCACATCCCTTTTACACCTTTCTATTCATATACATGTTACCAGTCTCCATTTATTTTTCTTCTAGGCCATCATTATAATGTTCTCATTGAAGACTTAATTGATCCTGCTTAGTATTTGATGTGCATATTTAAAGTTCAATGGTTTTCTGCTGTTTTAGAAAACTCTCAACTCTCTAAAAATTGCTTTCTTCTAGACAGTGCCTGTGGCTCAGTAGGTAGGGTGCCGGCCCCATATACCGAGGGTGGCAGGTGCAAACCCGGCCCTGCGGCCAAACTGCAACAAAATAATAGCAGGCATTGTGGCGAGCGCCTGTAGTGCCAGCTACTCAGAAGGCTGAGGCAAGAGAATTACTCCAGGAGTTGGAGGTTGCTATGAGCTATGTGATGCCACAGCACTCTACCGTGCGCAACAAAGTGAGGCTCTGTCTCTACAAAAAAAAAAAAAATGCTTTCCTTCCATAATTTTAATTTTTATCTCCAGGTATCTTATTAAAGAAATTTTGGATATTCACGCTCTATTTTTTGTATCTCTTAAACACTTTTTAGTACTTTTCAATTGTGAGGCTTTCTAGGCAATTTTCTCAAATTTATCCATTTGTTCACTAGTTTTCTTCTCAGACATGTCTCCATTTTTATTCCTTAAAGTTCAACTTGGTTCTTTTCCAAATCAAAGTTTTTTTCTTTTTAAATCATTCTGGCTCATTAGTCAGTATGAATTCTTTCTTAAAAGAAATATGTTAAAGCGTTTTTCTGATTCCTCCATTATTTCTAATTCTTAGAGCATAGATTCTATTTGCTACATCTCTTTCTTTTCCTCATGCCTTTTCTTTCCACCTTTTTTGAGACAGAGCCTCAAGCTGTCACCTTGGGTAGAGTGCTGTGGCATCACAGCTCACAGCAACCTCCAACTCCTGGGCTCAAGCAAATCTCCTGCCTCCGCCTCCCAAGTAGCTGGGACAACAGGTGCCCACCACAACGCCTGGCTTTTTTTGGCTGCAGCCATCATTGTTGTTTGGCGGGCCCAGGCTGGATTTGAACCCACCAGCTCAGGTGTATGTGGCTGGAGCCTTAGCCACTTGAGCCACAGGCGCTGAGCCTCCACTTTTCTTTTAACTGAGATCTCTCCCAACGAGACTAAGTCCAGGATCGACTCTCTAGCAGTTTAAGATCTACAGTGTAGCCTCAAATCACTTCAACCAGTGTTTATCTGCCTACACTTAATCACTATAGCTTTGATCTCTCAATTTCTCATAGCTGAGGGTTTCCATATTCTTTTAAACTTAGTTATATAATTATTTCTTAGTTATAGTTCAGAGAAATGCTTGATGTTCCCATTAGAAGGGCTCCCACTCCAAATGTAGTTGCTTTGTCAGACTTGTTACCAAAAGTACTTAACTAGAATTTCTATTAAGAACAGAGGCTAAGTTTTATTAAACAACCTTCGGAATCTATTGAAAAATGATAGACCTGTCTCCTTTTAATTGTCAATATAAGTCATATTGATAAATTTTCTGATATTGAGCCACCCTTGCATTGGAATAACATTATTTGATGAACTAAATGCTTTAAAGCAGTTCAATATAGTAAATAAAATAGTAAATAAAACATAAATATGATTTTCTCAGTAGGGGAAAACAGTTGATTACATTTAATATACATGCTCGATACAGCATCTTACCACTTGAAGAACACACGCAAGCTGTATTCATCTGACAATGAGGATTTACCAAAAACCTAGAGCAAACAGTTGATGATAAAAACTACACACACTCTCTTACTGCCTTTGAACTTAAAATTAACTACGTACTATATTTTGCTAGTGTAAAAACAATACTTTCCCAAATTCATGCCTTACCTCATGTTATTTCTTGCCTCTAGAAACCTCACCCTTTTGGAAGAATCACAAGCCCATCCCCAGTAAAATGGTAAAAGTTGTGTATTTTCTGCCAGAAAAACACATACACACAAATACAAAATTTTATCTAAAATATCATAGGATTCCTGACTTTCATTCCACAAAATAAATTCCAGATTAAAAAACTACAGAGTCCAACATACAAAATGCTAAAACAAATTAATGAAGTCAAGCAGATACATAGAAGAGTGCAAGTTAATGCAGGCATTCATATATGACCAAAAATACTATTTTGTTTTTTGTTTATGTTAAGCAACATATTCCAAATCTAAGCCTATGAAAACTTACCTGAAGAAATTAAACATGACACATTTAAAAATGTACTTAGGTTTTAGCTATTTTATTTACAAAGTTCTTACCAATACAACTGCTTAAAAAATATAGCAAAGGGTCATTTACTCAGAAGTACCAATATGTGATATAGAAAAAAAGTCAGTTAAACTATTAGAGCAGATAACTGACAAACATGTGCAGCACTCCCTAAATGAGTAGGAAGAAATGCATTTATTCACAGGAACCTGACTATTTTGTATTACTAACTATACAAAAAAGCTACTGTGAAAGATAACATCAAGCTTTGAAATAAATTTTACAATAGCAAATAAATTTTCAATTTTATTTGAATTATAGACCACAATAAAAAGTTGATGAAACATATATTTAAGCATTTTCCAGGAGATTAGTAAAATTTACTTATGAAACTTTAGAATTATTTCATAAAAGGAATAAACATTCTTTATCACACTTTTTTACCACATGGTCTTACAGTTTGAAATAAAATTACACTATCAAACTAAATCAAGTTTTGCTAGTGACTAAAATCACCAAAAATAGGTAATCACAGGACTATCTCAGCTACAAATATATACTAACATCTTGCTTTTGCAAAGTATACAATGTTTTTTCATCTTTCTTTATCTCAATTTGAAAAGATATTCTGAAACAATCTCCTTTAAATAGTGGTCTTATTAATAAGGGTAAATCTTTTAAAATCCACATGGCAGGCTCTTGAAAACATTTGAAGAAAAAAAAACTGAAGAAGAAATAGTTAAATATTTTAAACGGCACAGGTGAAACAAGACCCCACTATTTAATCAGGAACCTATGCAAGTATTTTAAATCGAGTAAGTACAGCAAAATCATTTAATCTCTGCAGAAACTGAGATACACCAACATCTATTTCCATAAATTCATTCCCAGACATATACAGACAGACTCACAGCAGTATTTGGCACCCACCCAATAAAATTTACTCGCTGTTTCAGTGTTGCAAAGCTACTGATATCATGAATAACTTAAATTACTGGTCCTCAAATAGGGATTTGAACAAGGAGATAAATTACATCAAAATCAATATAATTTTTTACATGAATTAACTTGAAAAATATAAGAGGTAAACCTTACTCTTCCAAGAAGAAAATCAAATAGCATAGTTTAGTGTTTCTTCTTTCTGGCTTTCAGCAAATGCTAATTACAAGTACCATTTAAGTCAGTTTGTTATTTGAGTATCAAGTGTTTATACATTTCTATAATTTTAGAGTTTTAGAGCTTCATATCAAATGAGTTGTAGATCTACTTAAAGTATGACTTCTCCTTTCAAAGAAGGAAGGAAGGCTGACAAGGGAGGGAGATGAGATGCCCTGTAAAGATAAGACAAGACAAATATTTTATATTTTTAATTTTTCTTTAAAAAATTGTAACATACAGTTCAATATAATGCCTATCACTTTTATGTTTTACAAAGCACCATAATAGTTAATTATAAGAAATCTAATAATTCTAAACTCTTTAAATAAAAGAGTTTAAAATTAGAGAAATGGAATAGGGACAAAACACAATTAAAACTATTTTAACATTCTGAAAATGCAAACCAAATGAATAGACCAGTTAACTAGATAATACAACAGATATTGGCTTTCTGTTAGTAGTGATAACTTTCTTCTGTGAGATACTAATGATTTAGTGTTTCAGGTTATGAAAGAAAAAATTATAAATTAGTAAACAAGTTTTTGATATAAAAGGACAAACCCTTGTAATTTCTTCTTAATTCATAAAGTAGAAGTAAGAGGAATTAAATCATTTCATGGGAAATAATTTTCTAAAATTCAGCCAGATAGTCCCAAAGAGTGTTTGCATTATATATGAAACTCATGTGTATACATGTGAGCACGTGTATATTTATGCACATATGTAATTTTGTTACATACCAAAATTAGGTATAATTAGTCCTTCTGGATAAGTGACTACTAACTTGCTAAACTATGTAAACTTACTTATGCATAATACAAAAACCAAGAATGAGTATAAATCAAAATAAACTATAAGGCTAAAGTTCATTTTAACATAAATGAAGGGCTAAGTGTTACTACACTTAAGGGAGGTGGCAGTAAGTTCTCACCAACAATGAAAACAGTGTTTAAAAAGCTCAGTTGGCCATCAATCCACAAATGGATCAACAAACTGTGGTATATGTATACCATGGAATACTATGCAGCCATAAAGAAAGATGGAGACTTTACGTCCTTCATGTTCACATGGATGGAGCGGGAAAATGTTCTTCTTAGCAAAGTATCA